TTTTTTCGTTTCGTATCGTATTTATGGTATCAGATTCCTTTCTTCGTTTATTGTAACAGTGACGATATTAATATTGTTACTGTGGATTAAAATAATTGTGATTTTGCAAAATAGTCAAGGACTTTGTTTTATTCAATCTTATAAACTGTAGCCGCATACAAACATTGATACGTTTTTTGTTAGATATTCCGTATATATTTTCAACGCCAATGGAAAAAGACATAACAAAGATATAACGAAGAGATTATGAAAACTTATTTCTTACTTTTTTTACATATTATTATATACATGTTATTTTACATATATTATATATTACATACATATTATTTTACATATCCATTAATTATACAGGATATCTAGATTCATAGGTACTTGTGTAGAAGTAGAATAAGTTAAATTAAATAAAAACACATGCTCGTGTTTTCATGCATATAAGATATTTAGAAATAGTTGTTATTTCCAGGATTGGGTAAGTTAACTTTATTTTTAACTAAGTTAAGTTAAAGTTAATGGCTTTGAAAATTTAACTTAGTTAAGATAAAGTTAACCCTTAATGAAATTAATTGAATTAAAAGTTAAATTAATAAAAAAAAGTAATTAAAAAGTTAAAAGTTAAATTTGTTTCATTTCATGACTTCAAGGTTTCAGTTTTACAAACAACGTAAAAAACAATATACACCTTATTTGTAAACACCTTATTTGTTTTATTTACAGATACTTATTAAATTTAAGTAATACAGTTTTTTCGAAAGGACTTCGCACTAATTATATGAAAAAAGTGGTTTCAGTCGAATTGACTGAAACTATGATATTTTTTAGCTTATGAGATGCCGATAAAAAATCTTCAACAAAAAGTGTGAAAAAATGGACAGTTTCTTGTAGTGCCATTAGAAAGTTGCTATTTTAGATCTAACCGAACCTTTATCTACAGTACACAGATTATTTTTTTAACTGTATAGGCATTTATATATAACTATACATGTGTCTATTATTGAATAGATTCATGTCTCAGTATATGTATGTAGTGCGGGAAGAGGGGTAATATGAGTGTGTATTGGTATATGTGTATTTGTATCGATAGTTATTCTATTAGTATACCTGACATTATTACGTCCAAAAAATTGTGTGTGTGTGTTGGGCGAGTTAGGTTAGGTTACACACACACACATACACACACACACATTTTTTGGACGTAATAATGTCAGACATACTAATAGAATAGCTATCAATACAAATACACACATATCAATACACACTCATATTACACTCCCCCTCCTGCACCATATACTTACACTGAGCCATGAATCTATTCAATAATGGACACACGT